GGTGCACTTGGGGTTTCCATCTGGGGTGAAGCGAACACTCAGAACCAGGTAGTGGTGACATATATATATATATATATATATATATATATATATATATATATATTATATATGCCATTAATGCATTTAATGTCATTAGGTTAGACATGTTAATGTGAGTCAAATGGTAAGTTTTAAATTATGTGTATTTTATCGTAATAAAAAAGTGAGGGCCAACTCCAGGCTCCTACAGCAACTGCCCTTGGGTCAGGTCGCGTTTGGATCCCTTGTGCACCCAGGAAGTGCCCCATAGGGGACAAGGCTCCCTGCCTCCGCTTGCCCTGTCCCTCCTCCCTGATCTCCCCTGGGCTTGGACCCTCCCATGGCTCTTCTCATCCCCAGGTCTCCTCTTGGGGCCTGGTTCTGGCTCTGCGCCCCAAAACTCCAGCCCCCCAACTCCCACCACTGGTCCACCAACACTGCATGCCCCTTCTGCCCAGCCACTTGGTGTCCCGGTTGATGTGGTCACACGAGTGGCCAGTGCCTTCTATCTAGCTCAGTCTCTAGACTCTGCAGATGCCCCCCTGGGGCCCCCAGAGGGGCCCTTTCCTTGGTGCCACCCCCTGCAGGACAGCTCTGCTCCCCACCCGAGGTTCCCCTCAGTTAGCGCCTGGGTGCTCAGGCAAAGCCTCTGTGTCCTGTGACACCTGGGTGGGTGTCCTGTATCTTTACGCACCCAGGACAGTGAGGGCAGCAGACCCTGACGGCAGCTCTCAACCCAGCCGCCGCTCAGGAGGGCTGGGCTGGTGTGTGCCCCTCGCTGGCCCCCTCTTGGGCCCTAGCTTGTTGGCAGGCAGCACCCTTCCAGCCACATGAGCCTGGGAAGGCCCCGATCATGGTCTGCTCCCTTGGCATCCCTGCTTCCCCTGTCCCCAGCCTGGGCATGAAGGTGAGAGAGGCGGGGCATGTTGTCCCCGCACCCCACCCTGGCTTGTGCCCACTGTGTTTCAGCCCCCAGAGGCCCCCTGCTCCTTTCCCTCTGCCTTGCCTGGAGAGACAGATTTGTTGTTGTCCCCAACACACTGACAGCCCTTGGAAGACAATGGCCCAGGTCTCCTTTGACCCCCCAGCCATCAGCAGAACCTGCAGGGGCTGGGGGGCTGGGGGGCTGGGGGAGGCTGGGCAGCAGTGACCCAAGCTAGAGCAAGGGTGGCTGGGGACACGGGATGTGCTCTGCAGGCTCCAGTTCATACAGTGAGATCGCACGCTTGTCTGTATGCCATTTGCTCAGGCTGAGAACCCAGAGAACGTGCAGGACAGGGCGCTATGGGAGGGTGGAGGGGCAGGAAAGGCAGACGTGCAGTGCCCGCTGCACAGTGGCTTTGTGGGGGCCTCTCATCCAGGCGTCCACTACGGTACCCTCAGTGTCTCTACCTCGCCGGGCTTCATTTTTCCAGCAGTGGTATCTGCTTCACAGGGCAGAAGAGGTCCACTCAGAGGCCTGGTGCCCAGTGACACAAGGGACACCAGGGTGCCGCTGGGGAGCTGCAGGAAATGTCTGTCCAGACGAGTTTGAAGTTGGGGTGCCTGGGCTGGATGGCCCTGAGACACCTTGGGCTGGAAGCCAGGGCACCCTCGCAGGGGTGAGGCAGAGCCCGGTGGCAGGGTGCAGGGAAATCCACTGTGGCTGGGGTGGAGGAGTGGGTGGGGCAGAGATGAAGGGCAGTCCCCACCTGGCTGGGCCCAGCTACCCTTGTGGGTCCTCTCTTCAAATGGGACACATTCCAGGTCAACCAGAGGGCTCCTCGCTGTGCCCTTGCCCCAGAGGTATGTGGTTGGTCCCAGCCTCCCTGCCCCAGTGCTGTTCTTTGTTTTTTTTTTTTTTTCAGTACTGGGGATTGAACTCAGGACCCTGCACTTGTCAGGCAGGAACTTATTCTACTGAGCTACCCCCTCGGCCCCTCACTCCAGTTCTAAGGACTTAGGTCTTCTGCATGGCCGAAGGCATCAGAGCCCAAGGCCCCTGCCCCACGGAGCGGCTCAGCCTGCTTCTGCTCCGAAATGCTCTGGGTCCCACCTCCCTGGGCTGGTCGATCAGCTAATGCATCTAGAGAGGATTCCCTGGGTTGCAAAGCGATCTGCAGATGGCTCCCACAAAGGCATTAGGATCTGGGCCTCAGAGCCTCCTTCCTTCCCAATCCATGGTCCCCCGAGACATCTGGCCGCCTCCTAGTCCTGGGCCCGGGCAGCTGAGCTGTCTGAACAGTGGGCTGGACAGGCAGCTGAGGCCCTCAGGAAGGGGCTCTGCTGTCCCTCAGGGACAGGAGCCTCAGGAGGGGCTCGAGGGGAAATGGGTCAGGTGCAGGCATTTTTAGCCAACTGTGGCTTCTGGGTGTGGCATGGAGAAAACCCTGCTGGGCCTGAGGGAGAGTTCTGATGGGTCTCGGGGGACCTGGGGGACTCCCACCCTGCAGCTGAAGCACTGGGCCCCTCCCTGCAGGGCAGTGACATATCTCACAGCCCCTGTGGCTCAGAGGGTCCTTCCCACCCCATCGACCCCCAAAGGCAAATGGCTTGGGTGATTGGGCCCGGACTCCCTGGACCTGCCCCTGAAGCCCAGAACCACTGCACTGTGGGCTACAGAGCTTGGGGGCAGGACCTCAAGCCACCCATCCTCCTTGGTCTCTTGGAGGTGAATGACTGTCCAGATGTTCTCCCCAGCTTCTCCGATGACAGTGATGGTGAGTCCTGTCCTCGCTGACTCAGGCTCCGACAGGCTCCTGGCGTCTGTCTGGGCAGCCTTCCCCTCTCCTCTCCAGCACCCAGCAGCTGCACCAAGCAGGACGCACAAGGGGAGGGAGTGGGGCAGAGGCTCCTCCAGCCCCTCAGCACCATCCAGGGTATCTCGACTCATTCATCCCGCAGTGTGTGGAGCAGCATGGAGAGTCATCGCGGCTGTGGCTACCTAGCACTTGTAGTGGCAGTACCACAGTGCCAGTGATGTTCCGGGCACGGGGAGTAGTCCAGTGTCTGATGATTTCACCCGATTTCTACACTATCTTCCACAGTCACTGTGGTCCTTCCTGGCAGCCAGGAGGGCTGTTCCCTACCCCCAACTCCCACCCCAAATTGCTTTTAGAGGCCACCAGCTGATCCCCCAGAGCCTGGAAAGTGGCAGGGTAGGGTGCCCCATAAAGCCTTCACAGACACCCTCAGCCCCTCCAGATGCTGTGCCATTGAGCTCACGAGAGTCTGCCTGGTCTGCTCCTGGTGTCCCAGCATGCCGCTCCTTTGGATGCAACTGTGTGCGTGCGTGCGTGTGTGTGCGCGTGTGCGCACGCGCACAGGCGCTCACCGCATCTGCACAGCCGTCCTTGCTGTCAGAGGTCTGACACAAGGCCCAGGTGACACTGGGCCCTCGAGCGCCTGCTGTCTCACTCACAGGCCTGGCCCTGGACTGAGCTCACGCTGGCTTCTGACCACAGCACTGGCCTGAGCGCTCCCAGGTGCTTAGTGGGATGGGTGCCTCAGCGGAGCAGGGGTCAGGCCCCTCTGCTGCCAGACTCCTGCTTCCTGTACTGTGCCCTGCTGGGCCAGCCTCGCTGCCTTTCCTCTCCATTCTCCTGTCCCTCGTGTTCGTAACAGAGACCTGCCCTCAAGGTCACTTGGGGGCACCCTAGACTGGGCAGCATCTCAGGTCTGCTCAGCTTCTAGCCTCCCAGCCCCTCTGCCGCTTCTCAGGGCGAGGCCTCCCCCAGGCGGGGCCCCTCCTTCTCTGTCCTTTGCCACATTCGTTCCAGCTGTCCTTGGCCACTGCAACGCTCCTCTATGGCACTAGCCCTCCTGTCCCAGTTGTCCTCTTTACCAAGAGCTGTCCTTCACTAGCCAGCCTGGCAGAACCATCTCCTGCCACCTCCTACCCCTGCCTGCCCACATGGCGCATCCAGGTGGCATGAGTGGTGTCAGGTTTCTCAGGAACACTGCCTTCTGAAGGCTGAAAACGTGCCCACCTCTCTAAGGCACCCTCTCCTACTCCCCGGGTGGAGTACAAGCCTTCACAAATGCTGGTGGAAAAAGATAAATATTTTATTTACATCATTTTCCCCTTGCACTGACATACTTGTCTCCTAGCTCCCACCCCAAAGCATGCTCTATTGGTCTACCCCTGGACACAGCTGGCCCAGTGGGGACAGACCAGTCTACCCCTGCAGCGGGGTGAGCTGAACAGGACCACTTGTCCTGTCCAGCCCATTGGGCAGAGGGGTCCTTTCCCCTTGCTCAGCTTGGGAGCTTGTCCCGGAGGCTGTGTACCCCAAGGTTCTCTGTCTTCCTCTAAGGAGGCTCGCCAAATTGGGAGACACCCAGGGGCAGAAGGTGGCAGGACTCAGGGCAAGAGAACAGTTGGTGGGTAAATGGGGGGAAAGCTGGGGTGACCTACAGGGTAGTATCCCCCATGGGTGCCAGGCAGCAAAGCAGGGCATTTGTAGTGGCAGTGCCACGGTGCCAGTGACGCTCTGGTGACGAGCGAGTAGTCCAACGTCTAATGACGTCACCTGATTTCTATGCTATCTCCAGGGCTCCCTCCTGGACTGTGTGGCCTTGCTTCTCGGTGCTGTCCAAGGCACTGCTAAGGCCGGGACGCGTCACGGCAGATGGACGCTGCCCCAAGTTTTCCACGATGCCACGGGGAAGTGAATCACCTCCCAAGGCTGCAGGGGACCCGGGTCCCTGTGCTCTGTGAGAAGGCAGCGCTCAGAGGGCCTGAGTGCTGCGGTGTGGGTAGACCAGCTCTCCACTTCTGTCCCACCCATCCCACTCTCTGGGATGAGCACCCTGACCTGCTGCAGGCTACTGTGCACCCATGAGCGTAGAAATCCTGCTGGTTTTGGAGTTGGCGTCCCCGACTTTTGGGGCCACTGCTCCTGGGGGAAAGGTGCTGGCCGCCCCCACACGAGGTGGTCGGCGAGCCTGGCCTTCATCTTCACAGCCACAGACCTCAGGGGCTGCTGTTCATGGCCTGTAGCTCAGACAGCCGTGGACTGCTTGATGCTGTGGAAGCTGACCCGGGTTGGGGAGGTGGGGATGGACATGGCGCGGGCCACGCGGGCACGGATGGAGTGCTTGTCCTGCCATCGGTGCCACCTCTTCCGGACAGCAGAGCGGACCTATGGGCACAGGGCAGAGGCTTGGAATGGCTCCCTGCCCTGGGCTGCCACAAGCAGAGGAGCCCACAGAAGATGGTGACATTTTACAAGGCTGACATTTGGTGGCTTTGGAGCCTGCGGGTTCCCTTCCCTCAGCCCACAGGGAGCGCTGCCCAGGGGTCAGCCTTTCGTTCTCAGATTCTTTTGCAAGACTGAAGCCCAGGATTCCACCCATGATGCACCCCACAGAACCTGAGGGCAGGGGCCGAGCTGCTTTAGGGGCACCGGGGTGGGGAGCTCTGTCCTGTGGCCTCCACATCGTAAGCCCAGCATGCACCCAGGTCCTCACCTCGCTGTTGAGGAAACAGTAGAACACAGACACGAAGAAACCCTGAGGACAGAAGGACGGCCAGAGCCTGTGTAAGCAGGGTCCCCCGATCCTGGGCTGTCCCCAGCTCCTGGGCTCCTAGGTCTGTGTGGAGTGAGCCCCCACCCAAAGAGGTGCACACCAGGCCCTGCAGAGTGGGGGCGGCCAAGCCCAACGAGGCAGGGAGGGAGGCCACACCTGGAAGGACTCCAGGAAGGAGTTGAAGTAGATGAAGACGACCCGGGAGACTTCATCCTCCCCGGGGTTGACAAAGAACAGCATGTAGGTGATTCCCAAGAGAGGCAGCAGCACCAGTGTGGCCTTCACAGCCTTCCTGGGGTTAGGGAGGACAGGGCCCAGTCAGAGCCCAGATGGAAAAGGTTGGGCTCTGGCCAGCAAGGCAGCCTGGGCCTGGAGGGGCTCAGGAAGGTCTACAGAGGGGGAGCTATACATTCGGGGGCACCACCAGCTGGAATGAACCCCCTGCTCGGAGGCCAGGACTCCAAAGCCCCATGGGGGGAGATGGGAGCCAGGTACCTGTACTGAATGGTCTCAGATGTGGTGGATGCCCGAAGTTTGGTCATGAGGATGCGGACGATATTGAAAAGGAAGATGAAATTGATCTGCAATTTGAGCACACCAGTGGGGATGGGGTGTGGATGTGGGCAGGTGTGGGGTGGGGAGCAGGACGTGCCCTCGGTTTTGCAGCTCTGCCTTGGGGCCCCCACTCCCCACTGTCACCCTCCACAGGTTGACACTGACACTTTTCTGGCTGGGCCCCTCTTTGGTCCCCACATTCAGGCAAACTGCCCCCTCTGTCCACTCTGGATATTGACTGCCTCTCCCTACTGGGCCGTCTCCCATGCCCCACTGAGGTTCTTACCAGCAGGACCAAGATCATGGGGCCCTGGTAGATGTAGTCAGTGTACACTCCGGGCCTTTTGCCAAACCAGCACCTGGAAGGCCAGAGCAAGAAGGGGAGAGGGCGTCATCCGGGCCTCTGAAGGTGTGGGAGGGGCAGTGCCCTGTCAGGGTGGGACTGGGGCTGACAGCCATGACGTGGGTGCCGCAATTCCGATCCTGGCAGAACGAGTCAGTTGGTCCCACGCAGGGCCTCCGCGCCATCCCACCTGCAGCCCAGACGGCATCTTCACTGTGAGGCGGGAAGCCAGAAGCAAGCCGTGGCAAGGAGAGGCGCTGCGCAAATGCCCACTGGGACCAGCACAGCACCGATTCCTCGGTTTCCCGTGGCCCCGGTGGCTGTGCCAAGCATGCCCACTGGCATGGGCACCTGATGGGGGCACCCTCTGAACCCGCTCCAGTGCAGCCCAACTGACCCACGGCACAGGAGGTCACAGGCCTGAGCTGCTCTCTAGCATCCCGGGAGCTGGGTGGGGACACAGCAACTGGAAGTCCTATCCTTCCATAAACCAGAAAGTGAAATTATGTGAAATCTCTTGGTTTTTTAAAATATTGGCTACAGAATCAAGTTTTTGAAAAAAATGCAACTCAGGCCAAACACAACTGTCTCTGGGCCACATCTAGCCCTCTCCCTTCTCTAACTTCTCACGCCTCTGCTGTGAGTCGCAGGCTCTGCACTGTACACCAGATGGCGCTGCAGAGCCGCAGCAGGGGCACTTTCTCGCTCTGGCCCGGGCGGACCTTTCCCATCACCGAGCACCTTGCAGCACGCACGCACGCACGCACGCACACACACAAACACGCTCCAACGCTGCTGTGGACCCAGGTCCCAACCCACAGCTGAAGACGTGGAAGAGAATTTCCAGAGTCCTGCAGAGCCCAGTGAGGCTGCGGTGCGCCCTGCGGGGAGGGCGGGAGCTGCCCCAGCGGCCCAGGCCCTGGACCATCAGCTGGTCGGCTCTGGCAAGGACCTCGGCCCCTCCCTTGGTTGGCTGGGTTGGCCTTTTCCTCTGGCTCTCTCTAGGTTTTCAATCTTAGCTGTACACTGGGCAGTTTTAAAAAATTCCTGGAGGCCAGGCAGTCACCCAAATGGCATCCAGCTGTTGGAGTGATGCCTGGGCACCAGCCTTTCCTAGAGCGTCCCGGGCAACTCTTTTTTTTTTTTATTTTTGCAGAACCAGGGATTGAACTCAGGCCCTTGCGCTTGCCAGGGAAGCGTGTATTCTACTGAACCATCTTCCAGGCCCCAGGCAACTCTTGTAGGGCGTGGCTGAGAATGCTCCAGCAGAAGTCTAGTTCTCAGGGGTGCCTGGGAACGCAGGTCTCCTATACAGGAAGCTCCAGGCTTCAGAGCTGCAAAGAGCCCGAGGCCAAGAGGGGCCAGTTTCTACCAGAGGAAGCTTTCTGTCAGAATAATCTTAATGTTGATGAAAACATTTATGTAGCGTTCTCCTGGTGCCAGATGCTGTTGTACGTGCCTAACACACATTAATGCGTGTGTCCCCACCACAACCCTCTCAAGCAGGTGCTATCAGATGTCCACTTTGCTGATGAGGAAACTGAGGCCCTCGACATTAATGAGCCAGCTCATGGAGCTGCTGAATAGTGGAGCCACACGAAAGACTGGAGCAGGCTGACCCTGCAGCCTCCTCTCCTTGAAGGTCAAGGGAGGAAATGGAGCTTGGACCCCAGTGTCTAGTTCCCCTCTTGCCAGAGCACACGTGGGGGCTCTCTGAACTGAGTCCAGCCCCAACTCTCTGCCTTTGCCCATGCAGAAGCCACGGTCCTGACAAAAAGCAGGATGGCACAAGGCTCTCAGGGGGCACCAGGCAGCCTGGGCTGGGTGTCCTAGCCGTGGGGTGCAGGGAGGGGAAGGAGGTAACTTACTTCTCATTGTCGTAATACATCTTCCCGATGGCCCAGGCCACAATGATGGGGAAAGGCACACCTGGGGGAGAGAAGGGCCAAGTCACTGAGCCCTGGGGCAGGTTCTGGAGGGACCCAGTGCAGCCGCCCAGGCCTCCCTAGAGAGGCTGCTAGGGGTTGAGGTGAAGCTTGAGCTCACCTATCTTCAAGATCTCCCTGCCCCGTCCCTAAGGAAGGTGCACGCTCCACCATCCCCAGGCCTTGGTCTCCCGGTCCCCAAGGAGAGAGGCGGCAGGAGCCCTGGCTCACCCCAGCCAATGCAGATGAACATCCACTTGCGCAGCCGGTCGGTGGAGTAGGTAAGCACTATGGCTGTGTGCAGGTAGCAGCCCTCACCGAACATCCAGAAGAAATTGGTCACGTGGAAGTAGTTGTAGGCTGCGGTCACCAGCCTGCACCAGGCCTGCCCCCACCCCAGAGACATGCTGAGCAGGGTGTGGGAGCAGTGTGGCACCCCACGCTGGGCCTGGGCCCTCTTGGGACCCTGCTTGTGTTCTGTGGCCCCCCGAGGGCAGCTGAACCCACTCCCGCCTCGGGCCCCAAGCGCAGTCCCCGCCTGTGGCAGCAGAACGCACCACGTTGCTGTGGTGCACCTCGGGGCTCATGGTGCGCTGGACCACGAACCATGTGGCATTGCGCAGGATGAAGGCTGAGATGAGGTTCCAGTGGATGATATTTCGCAGGCAGCGGATGCTCCTGGTAGGCATGTGGCCAGAGCAACAGCAGAAAGAGAGGTAAGGGACAGGCTGCGGGCCGCACACCAGCGCCACGCTCGGGTGGGGAAACGGAGGCTCTGAGCAAGTGACTGGACAGGCCGCACTGGGAGCAGCAGGCCTTGCCTGATGGCCCACGGGGCCCTCTCTGCCTGTGTCATCCCGGACACACTCCAGGATGGAGTGGGGCAGGTCTGCGTGGGTACTGGCATGGCTACTGGCATGGGGATCATGCTTACGCGATTCCAGCTACTCCAGGGCCGAGAGTCAGAGCTCGGCACCCTAAGAGGCCGCCATGGGAGGCCCTGGCTCCTGCTCGCACCTGTCCCCACTGCTTGGCCCTACCACCTGGCACACTCCCACCTGAGGTGTAGTACCACGCCATGGAGACCCCTCCTGGTTCCACCTGCCCCACCAGGGCCCAGGACGCAAGTGCTCAAAGTCCAGCCTGAGTGCAGATGGCGCGGCTGGGCCAGGGCAGAAGAGGCTCTGACAGAGACTCTGAGAGGTCCCAGAGTCCCTCTCTGCCACCCGCTGGGGGAGCTGAGGAAAGGACGCCCACCCCAGAGGCGGCCCACCCCACAGGCAGCCCAGCGTCTTCCTTCTCTGCCCGGCCTGAGGACACAGGGCTGCAGATGGACTCGAGGCCCTCCTCACCTGAGCCGCAGGAAGAGGACGAAGGCCAGCAGGAGGGCCACCAGGGAGATGCAGTGGCCCAAGTAGTTGATGATGACGGCAACCTGGTAGTGCACTTTGCTCTTTTTCTGAGGCAGGAGAGAGGGGCAGAGGTGAGGCTCCTGTAAGTCCAGCCCTGTGCCCCTGGACACACAGTGGGCAGTGCCCGGGCTGAGGGAGGCCCAGCGGTAGAGGTCTTCTGCCCTGCAGCCCCGTGCCTTGGCGCATCACTGTCAGCCCCAGGCCCTGCTCACTGCTCTACGTGGCTGGGGCGGGGCGGATGCTGCACCGTGAAGCCAACCCAGACAGGCTCCCACGCTCACGCTCGCCCAGCTCCAGGCGCTCTCAGTGAGACCCCACCCCCGAGGACCCTTCTCGCTTCCCAGTCGGAATGGGGTCCCTGCCTCTGGGCTACCCCGCCTCCCTCTGGTGGAAGCTGGAGTTGGCTCCTACTCACAGGAGCAGGAGAGGCAGCACTGTACTTCAAGACCCTGAGCAATCACACAGACAAATCCCTGGACTCTCTCTCTGTTGCTTCCCAGAGCCTTTCCCTCCCCTGGCCCAGGGCTCTGCTTCGAAGTGACCGAACTTCTTCAGTTTCCTAATTTACATCTTAATTAAATGTATTGATGGAAGCTACTGCCCCCGTTTCTAATCATTGAAAGCTGCAAGAGGAAAAGTGAGGAAGCTCTTACAGAAGGTTTGTATGCATGCATCTTTGCAAACCTGTGCCATGACCCCATGGGAAAAGCCAGAAGGGCACCTGCAACTGAAATTTTGCAGAAGAAGAGGCCCTGCCAGGCATGGTGGCACACACCTGTGATCCCAGCACGCAGGAGGCTGAGGTAGGAGGATCACAAGCTTAAGGCCAGCTTTGGCTACAGTGAGTTTAAGACCAGCCTGAACTACAGAGCAAAGAAAAAGACCTGCCCCAGCCCCACAAAGAGAAAGAGACCCAGAAGCATGCTGACGGCTCAACGTCACCCAGCTTCGGCTGCAGAGCCACTTTGCACCATACATGCAGACTGGCAAGATGCTAGATTATCACAGGCCCCTACCACATGGGTCAGCCAGTCTCCAGTGCTCCGAAGGTTCCTGTCCCCTGTCCCTGAACAAAGTCCCCACCCACCCTTTTCTATGTCCCAGGAAGGCATGGGCTGGAAACCCACAGCAGGAACATAGTTAGGACCCATCATTATGTGATGGAGAAAAGAAGGAAGTAGGCAAACTGGAAAGCAGCAGGCTCAGAGAAAGGGTCCCTGGTAGCACTCTGCCCTCCCTTGCCCTCTGAGGCGCTGGGGTGGGACAGTGCACACAGCCTGCAGCTCACAAGCGCAGAGAAGGGACACCAAGCTTTCCCTCCCACCAGAGCCCCACAGAGGGGCCGGGGAGGTAGCTCTGTGGCATAAGCGCCTGCCTGGCAAGGTCCTGAGTTCAATCCCTGGTACAAAACAAGAAAAACACAAAAACACAGAGCCTCACTGAGCTCTGGACCCCCACAGACCATTCCACTAGAATGTCCGTGGAAGTCCTGACAAGTTGTCCCAAGGAGCCAGGTCCCACTCCACCTTTCTTCTGGATGAGGAAACTGAGGCTTCAGAAAGCCCCAGAACAAGGGAGGTGGCTCAGGGGGGAACAACTGGCAGGCTTCCCCCCAAGGCCGCACTCTCCTGCTGTGCTCCCCCTTCCCATGGACATGCCACAGGGCCAGGCAGCTGGGCGGGAGGGAAAGGAGCAAGGCAGCTAAGAGGGGCTGAGAGCCCGGCAGGTGCTGCAGTCTGAGGCTCTAGAAGAGAGGCACACCCCAGATCCTGTTTGGAGCTGATCCTAACAGCCTCTTACTACATTTCACACGAATCAGTGCTGAAAAGCCCCTAGGTGCTGACAGCCCTGCACAGCCAAGAATGCTGTGGGCGCCAGCTTCTTTCACAGGCCAAAGGGGGACCAGGGAGCTGGGGTGCAGGGAGCCCCTTCTGTCTGGGGCCAGGTACGCCTGGGTTTTGTGGTCTAGAAGAGCGCCTACTATAGCTGGGCACTGTGCCAGTGCCTCACATGGTGTCTTTGCTTTTCTTTGTCATAATGAGGCTTTGATCCTGGTGCTTAGGTCCCTGCATTCCTCCTAACAGGCTGGGAACCGGGGCTGGCAGGCTTTAAAGTCCCTCTTCTCCCTGCATCCACAGTGAACTTCCTGGGGGACAGAGAGAGACTGATAACAGAAGGGCTCTCTGGGGAGTGCTCCACTGTGCTGGGCCAAGGTCTCTGGAGGGATTCTGCAGGGACAATGTGTCTCAGACTCCCCAGCTTCTGGAATCCGGAGTCCATAGCTGCTCATTATAAGTCCCCCAAGTGCAGATGTTCTGTTACAGAGGCACGAAGCTGGACACCAACATCCTGAGAGAGGAACGCCTCTGGCGATCCCCAAACAGAACAGCAAGTGACAAGGAGAAGCATCCACTAAGAAGCAGAGATCCAACCAGCACTGTCCAGAGACAGCAGTACCCGAGGGACACACGCACTCTTGGAGGTGGCCAACACAGCCCAAGAAAAAACCAGCAATACCTTGAGAGGTGGTCAGTAACGCCCAGAAAGGGCAGCCAGCACTTCCCCCAGGATAGCCAGTGGCCAGGCAGAGGCCCAGTGGCACCCAGAGAGCCCGTGACCAGCCAGCTCGGATTGCACAAGCAGCTGGATGCCTGAAGGTCAAAGGGGTCAGAAGACTGGAGACTCCCCGAGGAAGGCAGAGGCTGCCGTGCTGGGCGCTCCATGACCAGAATCCAGCAGGCATGCCCACCTGGCCCCGAGCTGCCTCTGCAGAGGCCACCAGGGGCAGGGTTGTGACACCTGTCCCCAGGCCTGAGATCACCACTGCTCCTCCCATCTTGCCCCTGCTCACCCCACAGTCGGTCAGTCGCTTCTCTCCAGGCTCCCTGAGCTGCTTCCTCCCCACCAGCAGACACCCTAGCCCCAGGCAGAAGTCCTAGCCCTGTGCCAGTGACAGAGCTAGACTCTCCACTGGGGCCAGAAGCCCAGTTTCAGAAGCCCTGGTCCCTCCAACACACCATCCCCAGCCCTGATGAACTGACCTGCAGACCAGGCACCCAGAGTCCCTATGTGTCACCAAGAGGAGCCCTCTGTGCTCCAGCCTCAGTCCTTCTGGATGGGGTGAGGGGGGAGGGGAAAGTGTGCAAGCCTCGGGGCAGGCAGAGGGCAGTGGGGTGAGGGTGCTGATAGGGCTGGGGGGGCTGTTTCATCCCTAGGCCTAGCCAGCTGGGGACTGAGGGTGCTGGCTGTGGGCGGGTCTTAGAGCCTGGCTCCTGGGCTCCTCACACGGTCCATTTGTTTCATTTCGTGGCAGAGCCCTTTATTTACAATGCTCGGGCACTGGTGCTTGATTAGGCTGAGCTGAGAAACCTGCCACTCATCTAGTGTGCAGCCTTGCCCTGCAGCTCCCAGGGAGCGGAGCCTGGGGTTTGGGGTGGGCCCAGTGAGGCAGAGGGCCTGCACTTTCACTAATTAAACTGACTGATGAACAGACTGGCTAAGCAGGGGCACAGTGGCAGAGGTGAGTTGGGCAGGGTGGTCACAGTGCCACGGGGTATGCGTGGGCAGCAGTAACTGGAGGACGGGGTGCTCTTGCTCCTGGGCCGTACCCCCTGCTGTGACTGCCCACCCCTCCGAAAGCCAGAGGAGATGGAAGGCAGATGGCATCGTCTCCACAGGTTGGGGCTCCAGCAAATGCAGCCTCCCACATGCTAGGGGCCACGAGCAGGGGCCACGGCACATGCCACTGTTGTGTCCTGTCCTGCTCCCAGGTGGTGGGTCTTTGACAGGTGCTGGGGAGACACTGGGCGGGTGCTGAGTGTCCCCCATCAGCCTAGAAAAGGAAGGGGCTGAAGCTGGAGCCAGAAAGATGGGGAACCTGAAGACCCAGCCCTTACGATCAGGAGGCTTGGACACAGTGAGCGGCGGTGGCCATGTCAGCTCTGCGGATGCCCACTGAGGGCACCAATGCCTGCCCCCAGGAGTGGAGTCTGTTGGGTGGATGGCAGGACAGGGGGAGACGCACTGTCTGCCTCAGGCGCTCAGACTCAGCAGGGCTATTGGAGAGTCAGGTGGATGCGGCGGGAGCCGGGGGACATCTGCACACAACCCTGTCCCATCTGGACCTCCTTTCCTGTCTGCACCTCCCCCGCACCACCCTCTGTGGGCAGGTGCTGTCCTCCGAGGAGGGGTCACAACTCCGGCCTGCTTTTCTGAGCTCCAGTCCCTTTTCCCTCCCCTTGATCCCTCTGTTCAGGGTGGGGGAGTGAGCCCCCCCAATGCGTGCCCCCCGACACGAGCCCATCGCCTCCAGCCCAACTAGTTCCCAGCCTGGACCTTACTTCCCTCTCCCTGTCCCACAGACCCTCCACCAACCCCAGGACCACCTAAGCTGACTTACGACGGGCGTGACAACCAGGGTGCTGGGCCTCAGTGGACGGTGAGTGGTGGGATCTGAGATGCTCTGCCCTCAGTGCTGAGGAAACTTGCTTCCCTGGTGGGGCAGCACTGTGAAGGAACTCGGCATTCCTTTAAGCCTAGCGCAGGTCTGCCCCTGCAGCTTCTGGAAGGAGCCAGATGACCCCCACAGCTGGGAGCTGAGGCCCAACCACTCAGGGCCCTCGTGGGGGCGCCGCTCTCCCTCCGTGTACCTGGCGTCCGGCTCCCAAGTGCTCCCCAGAACAGGGCCAAGATGTCCACTCCCACCACTCTGATTCATATTGTATGAATTTCATTTCATATTGAAATTTTAGCTCCAGCAATTAGGCCGAAGGAAAAAAATAAAAGGGATACAGATAGGAAAGGAAGAAGTAAAATTATCCTGGTTTGCAGATGATATGATCCTATACTTAGAAGGCCCTAAAGACTCAACTGAAACTGTTAGAACTGATAAAAGAATTCAGCCTCGTAGCAGGATTTAAAATGAACACATTGGCTGGCCAGATAGCTCAGCGGATTAAAGTGTCTGCTTAGGCATACACAGAGACCAGGGTTTGATCCTGTGTGTGCTGTGCTGGCCCCAGCCCTGCCCCTGGGGTGCAACTGAGACTGGGCATGGTGGCGCACACCAGTATTCCCAGCACTTGGGAGGCTGAAAACAGGAGGATCACTACAAGTCCAATCTGCGTAGTGAGACCCTGTAGACCCTGTACTAAATACATACAATGAATAAAATAAAATGAACACATATACCAATACCTCGGGGGTGGGGAGGAGACCTTGAATTCCAAAGCCTCAGCTTCAGGCTCTGGCTCAAGGACGATAAGCCAGTCATCCTTTCCACGCCTCAGTCTCCTCATCTTCAGGGGAATGGTTTGCAGCAGGTGAGAGCCTCACTTTTGCCCTGTCAGCAGGATCCCCTGGGGTGCGACGAGGACTGTCCATTCCTAGATCCTCCCTAGACTGACCTTTGGACCGACTGGGGGCCAGGTATAGGTCTGGGCTGTGTGTGTCTGGGTGATTCTTTCCCCAAGCAGACTGGGGAGCCCTGGGGTGGGCTACTGGTCTCTGAGCTCCCATCTTTTAGGTGATTAAATTCTCAGCCCCACTCAGGCCAGTCCCACCTTCTGGCTCCAGAAGCCCTGGCCTGGCAGCTTGGATGTCTTCTCTCAGGCTCATGGCTTCTCTTTCTTCCACCTGTGTGTCTACCCTCAGCATTTATGGGAAAGTGAGGTGGAGGTGCAGGGACAGGCAAGGGAGACCGAGAGCAGGGGCAACACCAGGCCCAGTGTCACCCTTCAAATAGTGTGCGTGCATTGCTATATGTAAAAGCCAAACACTGAGTATAAACATTGGTTAAATGAGCTATGGAACCTCTGTACAGTGGGACAAAATGCAAGTGTAAAGGGGACGAAGGTCATGTGCCAACACGGAGCAGTCTCCCAGACCGAGGGCCACATGCAAGATGCAAGGCGTCAAGCAGTCTGTGGACAGGCGATGTTTGGGTAAAGCCAAAAGCACACACAATGACTTGCACGCGCAGAACTGCGGGCAACAGTGCTGCCTCTGCGGGGGGCTCCGGGGCGGGGCGGGGCTGGAGGAGGCATGTCACTGCATTCCACTGGTACCTCTTGAATCTTGTGATGTGCGAGACAACAGTATCTACTCAAAAAATTCTGGAATTTTCAAGAGCCTCCAAGCCTCCTCACACTGGACTAGTGCCCCACTTCCATCTTGCTTCAGACAGAGCCCAGGCTGCCCTCAGAGTCTCTCGAGCGTGAGGTGGAGCAGGCAAGGCCCTGTGACTGTGGCTGACCGCCTGGCCCTGCTCCATACCTAGAGCAGCCAGCTGCTAACAGGCGCAGGAGGAAGGTGGAACAGGGCTGGACTGGCCCGGCCACAGCGTGCCCGCAGCTCCCAGGCGCTCCCCAGCAGTGCCTCCACATTAGACTCCTCCTCACCCCTGGCTGGCCATGCTGCAGGCGCCCAGCCCTGGCCACAGGGACCTGCAGGGCTCAGCTCACCTCCTCATTGAGAATCTCCTGGCATTCAGAGTAATTCACACGGGCCGCCCAGCTGCCATTGGCCAGACACTCGCGGTAGCCGTTGTCTGGAAAAAGGAAGCCACATGAAACAACAGCAGCTCAGAATGTCTGTCCATCTGTCCATCCATCCATCTGTTGCCCTCTTGTCCATCACCTGTCCATCCATCCATCCATCCATCCATCCATCCATCCATCCATCCAGGCTAGCATGGTTCTAGTGGCTGGGGCCCTGGAAAGAGACTGGGACAGGAGCTCCTCGCGGCCTCACTTCCTGTCCCTTTAGCCCGTGGGCCCCTCCACAGGGCTCTAGCAGCTGCCCTAAGCACTGCCACACCATTGGCCTGGGTGTGGCCAGGGGCCCCAGCTGCTCCACTGCAGCCTCCTTTGTGTGTGTGATCTTCTGAGAGGCTCCTGCTTGGAGTCCTGCACACTTAGAAAGGGTGGGATCTCACACACAGCGGGTCTGAGGACCCACACCCATGGGAGGGTGTATGGCAGTAGCACGTGTGGCTGACTGAAATGACAGGCTTCTCGCAGGACAACTGGTGGCAGAGGTGTCTTCGGGCTGTCCTTCTGTGGTGGGGGCTCCCGATGGGCCCTGCTGGGGAGCTCTGTGGTGGCATTTCCCCACCGCAAGCCTCTTGTCGGAACACCTGTAGCGAAGTGCTCCTGACAAAAGTGACAGGAGTGCGCCGGGGTGGCACCCGGGCAGGTCTCCCTTGGCTAATGTCTCACTGCCAGGACCCACTAGGCATAGCTGCTCCTGACCTGGCCTTTGGCTGGTGGCCTCAGGAGGGCGTGGGGTGTGCAGCCTCCCGCTGGGACAGAAGCTGAAACCTAGTACGGACCGGGGAGGCCTGTGGCCACACTGCCCGGACCTGGGGCCCTGGGGTGGGCAGAGCTGCCGAATGGTCTCTCTCACCTGTCCTCCTGCTGACCCCCCATGGACACCAGCATCCTCACATCTGGCTGGGAGACACCAGCAGCATGGCAGCCACCTCTCTGCTGGCAGCATAAGAAGCAGATGCTGGGCGAGGAGCCCGGAGAGCGGATGCTGGCCCCAGGAGAGGCAGCCCAGGCCTGGCCTCCGGAGCTGGGAGGCTGCAGCCTCCACTCTGCCCAAGGAGGCTGCTCTGGCTGCAGCAAGCTGCTGAGGGCCAGGAAGCCAAGCTGTCAGGTCTGTGGCTCTGGAAGGCCTCTGGTGTGCAGCCCTGCATCTGGGCAAAGCAGGCTGGGGACCATGTGGCTACGAGGCCACAGGGGTGCTCCTAAGTCCAAGTGAGGACTAGGTCTGCCCTACCCAACTGAAAGTGCCCTGGAATAGGAATGCCTACGACAGGGAAGACACTGGGCAGGAAGGTCACGGGGTGGCGGAGTTGGTGTACAGCTCCTGCCGTAAGAGAAGAACTTTTAGTGCACAGAGCGCACCAAGAGCAGGGCCCAGACCCACACAGCCGAGGCTCGCATCCTACCCAGCTGCGTGACCTCGGGCACATCTCTTAACTCTCAGCTTCCTTGTCTGTAAGAACAGGGATCTTCATAAAGACACCTACCGCTTGGATTGAGAATTTTTAGCTAACATGCACAAGATGCTTAGAACTGTAACTGGCATATGGCGTTAACATTATGTTTATTATTATTGTCTTGGAGCTATATTTATATAACCTTATATAACAAGTAGAACATGTCATTCATCCCTACCAAAAGGGGTGCAAATGGTGATTATGGAGGAGCCCCTTTGCTCAACAGCCGCCTTTTGCACCACACAGACAGGGGGCCTTTCCCCAAGCCTGCCATCCTAGGCTGACGCAAGGGAGGAAGTCCTGAAGGAAAACGGGCCCAACACTGGGAGTCGCTGCCAAGGAGGATTCGACCTCCTTGTCTCTAATTGCTGAGCTGAGCAGTCCTCCTGAAGAACCATGGGAGAATGGATATTTTTGGAAACACTTCCCACCCATTTGAAGGTCTGATGCTGGTGGAGGGGGGGGGATTACAGAAAATCCCAGAAGCCCTGTCAACGCCTCATCAGTAAATGAATTAATTACTGCCTCATGATGAAGTATGGCTCTGGCTCCCTCCCCAGCCCGTACTGGCAGGGCATCCCTCGTCACATGCTTGGGGCACCCACAGAAGGGTCCCTCAGCCTGCCTGCAGTGCTTATGCATGATGGGGGGGCACACCCCTATGCTGAAGGGAAAAAACTGAAGCCCTGGACGGACATCGCTGGGCTAGGCCCAGGACTCCTGGCCTCCCGTAAATGCCAGCCTGGTGAGTTTAGCAACATAGGCACTAAGACGAGACAAGGATCATCTGAGGTGTGGACAGTCACCCTTGGCTCTCCAGGCTCTCTCTGCTCTGTGACCCTGAGCAGGCTCCTAACTTCTCTGGTCCCCTGCTCTGTAGCCTGAGGACGCTTCTCCTCCAGCTTCCTCTGCTTCAATTTCCTTGTAAAATGAAACTGAAATACAAATTAGAAGCTGGCCGTCTGTGAACTCCAAACCTTCCCCGCATGCCTCCCAGCCTTTGTCCTCCTTTTTCCTGGTCCCTCCCACCCGTGGGATGGACAGGAAGCTGCCTGAGTCAACCTCCCTGGGAGGCCTACAGTCACCCTCCTGGGCTCCACCATCTCTGCTTGCCCCCAGCCGCGACCTCTCTACTCCAGCTGGTAAAGGAAGGGGGGCTGGGAAAACTTTGGACGTTTTGCCCTGGAAGACGACTTAGAAACCAGGTCAGCCAGCGCTCTCAGTTCTCAGATGAGGGGCCAAAACAGAACACGAGCTGAGGTCACGCAGCAAGTCTTGGAACACCGGGGTCTGTGGTGGGCCACTTGGTGTCCACTTGGCTCCACGCGCAGGCCCACTGCACTCCAGGGCCTAAAGAGGACCCCAGTGCTACCCTCCCTTGGGCTAGGGCCCCTGGCCTGCAGCTGTTACTCTTTTGATAAGCAGGGACCTAAGTCACTGGCAGGGGACAGCAAATTAATTCCAAGGGCAGAGAGTGCTGTAGCATAGAGCTGCAAAGCCTGAGGCGAAGCCTCCAGCCTCAGGAGTAAGGTGTTTATGGGGGATCAAGTCTCTGCACAGAACAGTCAGCCCCGCCCTCCTGTTGCACCCATCTGTGGCCCTGGGTTGCACGCAAGCCCTGTGCCAGGGACCTAAACTCTGGGTGCCCACTCCTGCCTGGAGGGCCCTGGGCAGGACTCAGCCCTCTTACTGCCGCTGTTTTGAGGACTCCAGCCCTACCTTATGAGGTCGCTACAGGTTTGAACAGTAACTTCAAGTTCACCTACTACAGAAGAAAGTGCCAGACTTTCCGCCAGTTTCACCCCTTACCAGCTGGTGCCTTGGGCAAGTTTCCTAAGCTCTCTGGGCCTTAGAGGCTGTGTATAGCAGGTGACAGGGGCTTCCGGGGCACTGTGAAAATCAGCAGACGTGAGCAGAGTGCCCGTGGGCACAGAGCTGGTCTTAGGAAAAGTGGCGAACCAGCATTAGGTGCTGATATTACCCTTGTTATTGTCCTGCTTCACCCCTGCCTTCGAGCTGTCCTCCCCCCATCCCCGCAGACATCTGCCCTCTACCTCCCCCTTACTTGTGGTGTTGTAGCGGACTCCGTAGAAAAACGCAGGGCAGGGCCGAACCACCAACTGCCCGGCGGGGCTCCGGGGCCAGCAGGTGCCGATGAGGTCCACGGAGGCATTGCACTGCGGTCCTGGGACAGAGATGGCCGGTGAGGCAGAAGCAGGGCCCATCCCAAGGCCCCCAGGGCAGACAGAGCCCTCGAGAGTCCTGCCCGCCTCCCTGCTGGCTCACACTCAACCTCAGCCAGGGAAAGCCTATGACAACCAAGGCCACCTGTGCAAAGAGACACGGGGGAGGAATCCGAATTTGAACCTCCAGAGAGCCAGTGTGGTTACAGAGCACAGAGGGGCAGAGCCAGCTGGGAGAGGTGACGATGGCCGTCAGCTGGAAGAAGGCTGGACATGTCCTGGTCCCTGCTCTGCAGCCTGAGGACGCTTCTCCTCTGCCTTCCTCTGGCAACAGATTGGTGCTTGAGAGCCTCACAGGAACAGCCGGGGCCAAGCCAAACCACCTCTGACCAGATCCCATGTCTCAGGAACCAGGCCACACCCGCCCTGGCCCACAGGGAGACCCAGCTGCCTGCACCACACGGACGGAGCACACACTGTACTCTCGCCTGCTGCGACTTGGGAGAGGACAGATCAGAAGGCTGGGGGAGTCAAAGGGCACTGAGTGATGGGAGCTCATGCTGCAGACTTGCTGGTGACCATGCGTGAGCCATCGGCCCGCCCCCTCTGGTGGCTTGCGCTATAGCAAAGTAAAGTAGTTGGCCTAGATCAGACCTTTTTTTTTTTTTTTTAGTTCTGGGCCTTACATGCTAGGCCAGCACTCTGCCACTGAGTGACACTTTTAGCCCATGATCAGAAATTCTCAGCCCACAGGAAGCTTCCTTGTGACCTGGAATCTAGTGAAAATTGTATGTGCAAGTGCTTCCAAAAGTGAAAGAATTCTGTGGTTTTTTTGCCAGAGTCTAAAAAGGATTTGTGATCTCAAGAGATATAAGCAGCTGAACTAGAAAGAGGGTGTCGACGGCCCTTTCAAATATTGACATTTTCCCTTTTATAAAGAGCTTTCTGGAGGGAGAGGGAAAGGAAAGCGAGGGGAGGGAGACAGACAGACAGACAGATCTCCTGGCTTCACAGGAAGGCAGTGAGTGGGAAAATAGTCTCTGGAATGGGAGTCGGATGCTTGAGCCCCCTCCTGATGCTGCCCCTACTTTCTCCACCTTCTGATGCTCTTTTTGGCATGAAGCTGACCCCCCGTCCTGCCGAGGCCCAGGGTCCCATCCCGGCAGAAGGAGTCAGCAATCTGGAGTTGGCACAAGATCATGCAGACCAGCCAGGCAGAGCCAGGCCCGGTGGGTTGGGGATGCCCCCTCAGGCCGAGGCGTCAGCAGCTGACACCTCCCCAGTTAGCCTGTTCCCGGCCTCTCAGAAAACAGCGGTGTGTTACACTGGCTTCCTCTCCCTGCTGGACTCAGAGCAGTGCCCTACCTTGTAGGTTCTGGGCTCGAAGGGCAGAACCTTTAAGGAAGGGCTTAATGGAAAGAGAAAGAGATGTGGCCTGGAAAGGGCAGGCGTGGGACACAGGGGCCTCCGTGGTGGCATTACGGAGAGGTGGGGGAAGCAGGGCAGTGAGGTGGCACCCAGGTGTGGCACTGGAGTGCCAGGTGGGACCCAACTGTGTCATGGCCATGCCGACAGCACAGAGTGCAGAGAGGGGCCAGAGCCACCCGGCTGTGTGCAGGGGTAATACAGTGAACTGCGAGTACCCTGCTTGTTCGAGGCTCTGCCTCACCTCTGTGGCTGACACCAACGTTCCCTTTTACAGACGAGGACGCTGAGGCCCGGGCACGTTAAGTGACTTGCCCAAGTCGAAGCGTGAAGGCACTGGGCCTCGCAGCCAGGGGTTTCTGGCTCTGAGTCAAGTGCTCTTTCAGTCACGCCCTCTCGTGTGGTGACAACGGTGGGCCAAGCCAAGCAGGCCGCAGTACTACTGAGGGCTGGCTGTGTGCCACACTCCTGCAGAAGCACACAGTCCCGCTCACTCTGTGGTGCCACCTTGCTCCTCGGGTGCCTCACAACATCTGCGGTGCCAGGCACTGCGCAACGACGTGGGCTGCCAGTGCAGGGCCTTGCCTGACACACCATTTCAGTCAGAGCGGCATCCACTCTCCATTTCCTGGACAGTTCCCAGGTCCCCTTCTGCAAAGAACGGGCAGGGCAGGGCAGCAGGTACCAGTGCAGAGAACCACGGCACGTGCCACGCAAGGAACAGATGCCAGGCCTGGCCAAGCCTAGGGCTCTCAGGACTGTAAGCAGAGGCCTGGCGCACCCACAGCTGGTCCTGGGCAGGGGGGGTCTGCGTGGCAGCAGGTGGGGCAGAATGAGGTGCACTCCTAGTCTGTGCTACGGCTTCAGCTGCAACTCTTGTAGGTCTTGCACCACTTGCCAGTGTGGGTGCTAATTCTCCCTATTTGACAGGTAGGAAAACTGAGGCCTGAGCAGATAAATGGCTTCTTTGATGTTAGGTACTTGGGGTCTAGGGGCAGAAGGGTATTTGAACCCTGGTCTTCCCACTGCCACAAGGGGGCCTCTATCCTGGGTAGCTGCCCTAACAGCTTCCGTGCTCACTCCTCTGTGGCCCCCAGAGCTCCCCTCTGCCGTCCATCCTGCACGCTGCAGCTCACAGAAACTGTGTGCAAGTGGCACCGGGGAGCACAGCGCTGGGGTGACCTTTATATTTCGAGCTCAGGAAAATCGTGCAGGGAATGAAAATCTGTGAAAGACAGGAAACAAGGGAGGAAAGCCGGGCCTGATGGCACACCCCTGTAATTCCAGCACTCAGGAGGCTGAGGCAGGAGGATGGTTGCCAGTCTGAGACCAGCCTTGACTACAAAATCAGCTCGAGCCAGCCTGAACTACATAGTGACACTGTCTCAAAGAACAAACAAAAAAGAAAAGGGAGGCGCGCCTGCGAGGTGGAGAACAACTACCATAGGAAAGCAGCACAGCCGTAGGCGCCTCTTGAGACCAGCGCGCCCCCCGTGGGGGTGTCTGGTGGGCGGGGTCTGTGCTGGGGGGCGCCAGCTGGGTGTAGCCAGAGGCTGCGAGCCAATCAGGAGCAGCAGCTGGCAGCGGACCTTATCCCCAGAGGTTTGGGGGCCGAGTCAACCCCACAGCCTCAGGCAGCAGCCAAGAGGGAGAGGCAGGCAGAGGGAAGTAAAGGAAAGGGACCCCAGAGGTAGAGGGCAGGGCGGAGATGCAGCCCACCTGCACTTCAGCTCAGCCCAGAGCCTGAGGGCAAGGCTTCCGGAAGGACAGCGGGGACTGGGCATTGTAGGACATGTGAGCAGCCTGCACCTAATGCCAGTGCACACCAGGCATGGGGAAGGGCCTTTGCATTCACCCGTTTGCACTATTCGATCCATACAGCTCTTTGGAAAGAAGAGGGGAGGGCGGGTGGGAGCCAGGTGGGCAAAGAGCAGGGACAAAACGTAAGAGACGGAAGGACAATGCGGGGAAGACTGGGCAGTCGCGAGAAGGAGGCACAAGGAGGGGTGATTTCGGGGGACAGAGTGGGTGCGGATCTTGCAGATGAGAAAGGGAGAGGCGGCAAGGTCTCTGTCAGAGTCCGGTCCTAAGGCCCTCAAGGTCGGGCCAACACCCCCAGACCCCAAAGCTGCAAGCCCGCAGCCTCTTCTGCGCCCCTGAGGTGTATTCTCCCGCGTGGACAGCATAGTTCGAAAGTGATGAGCAGGTTGGACCGCAGAAAGCGAACCGAAGCGCCGCGGCGCGCTGCGTTGGAGGCCCGTCGCGGACAGCGCCTGGCCCCGCAGCGCCCCTCCTGGTCGGTTAGGGCGCAGAAGGGGAGTTGCTTGCCCCTTCAGACTACCCTGCAAGGCCTTCAGGACCTGAGACTCAGTAAGGGATACAGCGAATGCCCTGCCCTCTTGTGTTTCCATCTTAGCAGACGAGGCAGTAAGGAAACAAGCAGGCGGACAGATATGTTACCTAGTGAGAAATACCACGGAAAGAACCCGAGCAAGGTAAGGAGCGTTCAAGTCGACCACAACGCTACTTTAATTTGGTATCTCTCTACAGCACTAACATTTCATTAGCCACCTGCGTGGACAGGGTGGCGGAGAGCAGGTGAAGATGCTCGGGCCCTGGCTTGGCACCTGTGGCTGGGCAGAGAAGAAAGGTGCTTCGTGGGGTGTGAGGCTCCTCAGGACAAGTGGACGGGAGCCCCAGACCCTCTCATCCCGTGGTTTGTGGGGTCTTCTTCACTTTCCCACTCCCAGCACCTAGTGAGATGCCAAGCACATAGCAGATGCTGAGGAAAGCCTGGGGCCATGTATAAGTCCAGCGTGGTTACGAGAATCTGCAGGGGTCACTGTGTCCCCAGAAGGCTAGAATTCCACTGATATCCTGGTAACCTCAAAACGTGCCCCTGGGGGTGAGTCCCAAGCCAGGCTCGACTCCTGGGACCAGAACCCACGTAACTGTGCAGTGCGAGTCAACTTCCTGGAGCCTCAGGTTCCTGTTTTGTAAAATTCAGATTAAATTCTTCCTGACTGTATTGCTGTGACCACCCAATGCAATTAAGCACCTAGCATGGTGTCTAACAGAGCAGGCCATAAATAAATGTTAGCTATTATAACCATTCGCTACCTTAAGGCCAGATATGGGAACCAACACCTCTAGGTCTTTTTAACTCTGAGTCCACTTGTCTATGTATGGTGTCATTAGTAATTGATGCTATTAGTTTTTGGCACTGTCATCTTATGTCATGATTTTATGAATCAAAAAATCTATGATCTGCCATGTGATGGGGCCCTGACCCCGGGGACCCAGCCTCTCTTCTCCTGGCATGAGGCACCGCAGGAGTGCCCCAGAGGTCCTGGCTCCGTGTCAGTGTCCTGGCCCGATGCCCATCCATCTGCCTAGTCCGGCAGCCTCACCCTCACTATCTGTCTCTGCCACTGCCCATAAGTCTGAGTGGATCTCAGAAGACAAATGGCCCATTATTAGAAGCCATTGTGGGGGATGATGGATTGTGTGCCGTGAAGCCAGGTGGGCTGAGCTCTGGGTGGGGGCACCTGGCACACGCCATGGGGGAATGAACACCGTGCACCACGGCCTGGGGCACCAAGGGCAAGCACAGGGCTGCCGCGAACTCAAGCACTTTAGTGGAGCCTGCCCCGCCCCAGGCATGGGGGTCTGAGGCCTCCTCCCTCTTCATCGATCCCTTCCTGAACTCCAGTCTGGCTGGGAATGGACTTCCCTCTCCCCACAACCCAACTCAGCAGCTGATGCTTCTGGCACCCAACACCTCTCCAGGTTTACTTACACACACACACACACACACACACACACACACCCTTCTACAAAAATCACCTACTGATCCTTGGCTAACCTTTCTTTCCTTTGCTTTTTACTACTGGGGACTGAACCTCTTGGCACTGAGCTACATCCCCAGTGCACCCCCTTTTTAAGCTGGGTCAGAGTGCCACTAGGTGCTCAGGATGGGCTCAAACTAGGGATCCTCCTGCCTCAGCCCCCCAAAGGGCTTTGGGTCACAGACCTGGCTCTTCTCTGCCAGGCCTCAGTCGCTGTTAAGACTCATCCTGGAACCTCCTTCATAAAGCCTTTGGAGATTTGCAGTATTCCATTCTACCTCACTGCCACCTCTGCTGTGGCGAGCAGTTTATGGCTGGTATGTTCCTTTCCAGCTCAAAAGTAAGTGTTTGAAAAGCTTGCCTACATTGCCTACCATGATTATACTCGGGTGTAGCTGGCACTGCCGTTTGTGAGAGGGAGCCCTAAAATTCAGTGCATGCGAGGTATGACACACCCTTGAGGCAAGCACACCTGCCCCTTTCCAGCCAGGCACAGTGAGGCTCAAAGGGCTTCACAGGTACACTCTCCCCTGGCTTCCAGGTCCTTGCGCCCTCCCAGCCGGACACCACTAAGCGCCCCCAGGAGGACACCACTAAGCACCCCCAGGAGCCAGCCTTCCTCATCTAAGCCAATGGTCACTCCTCTCCCCAGGCCTCCTGGGGAAGGAACCACAGGCCAGCGTGCAGCAGCTCTGAGTGGCGGAAGCCTCCTCTTCTTGAGGGCCCAGCTTCCAAAAGTAATGGCTCGTGTCTCTGTGAGCACATCTGAGCCGCTTCTCAGCTAGCATGTGTCTGGCACTCTACTTCCTGATACGTGCATCTGGGGACTTGGGTCATGCTGTGAGCCCCTCTTTGTTACCCTAATGCCTTGCACCAGGCCTAGTACATAGTAGGTGCTCAATTAACAAGCACAGATGAGCACTGAAGAGAATAAATCTCAGGACTCCAAGCCTCCCAAGGCCCTCGGGTGCGTGGGGACCCTCTGCAATTGGCCAGGCAGCAGCTGTCTATCCCCAGGACCAGTTAGAAAAAGCACAGCCTTGGAGTCCAGAGACCTAGACTGGGTGCCTGTCCCTGCTACACACTGTCCGTGCAGACCTGGTAGTGCCACATAACTCTCCCATGACTCAGTTTCCCTATCTCTGGATGAAGTTCGTTTTCAATCTTGTGAAGGTAAAATAATCGTACAGCAGCGCTCGGCACAAGGTGATGTCGCAGTGCAGCCATTGTCCTCACGCAGCGTTTTGGGTGGAGAAGTGCTGGATGTGGTATTTCAGAAGCTGGGTGGCCTGTGCTCAAGGCAGGTGCTGGAACTTTCTAGTGCCTTTCTGTGCCTCGATTTCCTTTATGTGTCAAGTGATGGCTAACAGTTGTGCAAAGTGGGTTCCTAGAGCCAAAGGCCTTGCCCGGCGCGTGCTCAGGGCCGCAGCGTTCAGCCCTGTGCACTTTTAGCAGCAGCAAAGGCAGCCCTTCCTCCCCCGCTGGAGGTCCCTATCTCAGGGCTCAGCAGCATGGGCCAGGATACCCTCGAGGTGCCCACCTCGAGCAGGGACAGTGACTGGTGGGCCAACATGACACGTGTACCTCCCGTGCCCACGGCAGTCACAGTTCTCTTTCTAGACAAACTTACAGCCAACCGCAGGCTCCTTCTCAGCACAGTGCTCTGTGGCACTGTGGCGAATTTCCTGGGGCCCTGGGGAGGCATTTTCTCTGACAGCTTCGCTGTGGGGCACGGCTCTATTTGCAGACCCGAGTGACCAGGGGAGCGGACACTTTGGTGACCTGGCATCTTTCACACGGGGTGGAGGACTCACCAGAGATGTTGCTGGCCAGGGAGAGGCTCTCGCAAGGCTGGCTCTGGGTGGAGCTGGAGACGGGGCTCAAGCCCAGCAGGAGAAGGGCCTGCGGACAAGGAGGCGAGCGGAGGGTTAGGCTGGGGCTGAACCTAGCCTTGGCTGGGGCTGGGGGCTCTGGCCAGTCCCCTCAGGGTTCAGATGCTTCAGTTCCCTGTCCTCTGAGCCTGGAGCTCCTGCAGCCGCCCTGCTCGCCAAGAGCCTGGAGCACGGGCAGAAAGAGATGCAGCCCCAGCACCGAAGGAAGGCAGGCGAGGACTTGGTTCCTGACGGTGAGCCTTTCTGCGAGGCTCTGCTGGAGGAAGCCATCTCCATCACAGGAATTCTGAGCGAGACCTGAGCGCCCCTCTCCTCTCGCTCCCCCTCTGCCCCCCTCCCGCTCTGTCCCCTTCCCTCCTCTCTCCCTTCTCCCTCCCCCGCCTCTTCTCCTCTCTCTCCCACTGGCTCCCTTCCTCCTTCCCTCCCTTTCTCTCTGAGCATGGAGCACTCAGACCCCACCAGCAAACCCCCTCCCTCCAGAGGCAGGGCCGAGTCCAAGCTCTGTAAGCTGTTAGTCTCCTAGGGTCAGGCAGCATGCAACTTTCACACCTGACCCCACCTGGATGAAGAGGAAGTGGGTGCAGAGGTAAAGGGGTGTTGAAAGCTTAGAGGCAGGATTTGTGATAGTTGACATACTATTTTAGTGACATTTTTAAAAAATTAAATTAACATAAAAATCCATGATGGACAAAATATTGAAAACTTTAAAAGCAAACACAAATGTTTAGTAACAGGGCACTACTAGAACGTGGGGTGAAAGGGAAAAACAGCAGCAATGATACTACTTGGCTGAGATTACTGATGCTTTTGTCCCTTCCTGACATCTTGTGCTTGAGGAGAACGCCCCCTGACACCACCCCAGTCCTGCCCTCTCCCAACCCTCTCCCCAAGCTGGCCTCTGTCTCGCCCCTGGGCTCTAATTAGATGGCACAGGCCAGGAGTTCTGTTCCTACTCTTAGTGTCCTGGGCTCCCATGGGTCACTGTGAGCCCACAGCTGGCCCTGCACCTTCTCCTGGGCCCCTCCCTGCTCATCCTTCATGGACCGCTGCCTTGTCCCAGCCACAGAACCGGCCTGCTATCGTCTCCCCTGCAGCCTCCCACCAGCACCCACCCAGGCACCAACCCTTGACCCTTGAGGACCCACAATGAAGCCAGGCGCCACTGCCTCCTCTCCATCCCTACATCTCCAGGTGGAATGGTGCAGCCTCACTCTTGTCCCCTGGTCCCTTCCTCCTGCAAGAAGCACCCCCAGGGCATACAGAATCACCCTGTTCCCGCCTGAGCCCTTGGCAGGCTTTGCCTCCCCGGCCCCTCCCTGGCACACTCCTCTGGCTCGGCTGAGGGGCTTCTCTGCTCTCTCAAGACCAATCCCAGGGCGCAGAGCAGTGCCCTCCCACACCTCCAGCCTGTGCTTGGTGCATGGGACAGTGCCCGTATCTCGCTGGGGCCAGCTAGCCTGACTGGGCCTCAGCAGGGATCAGCACAAACCCGTTCATTCCTCTGGCCCCAAGAAGCTTCCAGCACTTCATTAATCAGTAATTAAACTCCAATCTCCAGGGAGGTGGAGCAATATCTTTACCCTCGTTTTTCAGTGCAAACACAAAAGTAGAGAGAGGAGGGAGCCACCAGACCGGCTAGTGGGACCTGCCAGGTAAGCGCAGAACAGCAGCCTCCTGGCAAAGCTGTGTTGCTCTTCCAGCACTCCTGGGATGCAGGCTCTGCTCCATCTCCAGAGATGAGCAGCCTGGCTGTTCTGGACAGAGACTCCTTCTAGAAGGGCACTGTATCCTGCCTGCAGCACCCCCACCCCTGGCCCTTCACCTCCTGACACACACACACACACACACACACACACACACACACACACGCATGTGTACGTACACACACACACACACACACACACACACGCAAAGAATCAGACTCAGCTCAGCTACATGGACTACATGCAAACTAAAGAAACCAGAAACTCCCTCCTGGAAACAGCAGCCCTGTGCCTGACATCCCACCATTATCCATCTATCTTCAACCTCTATTCGCGCTTCTCTTTCCATGCACGTCAAGCTCTGATCCCACCTAACAGCTCAGTGCACCAGCCCTCTTTATCTGTGTAGTTTTTGCCCCCTACCCTGGCCCCTATCCTAACCCTACACCTGGTAAACTGCATTTTTCAGAAACCAGGCCCAGGGCCCCTCCCCAGTCCTCCAAAGCACAGCTACCGGCTGCCCCTTCAGTGCAGTCCAGTCCCCAAAGTGCCCCGTACAAGTGCTGGGCTCTGTGCACTGGAGTCCCGCATCTGTAGGGTTGGACTAATCCCTGTTGGAGCACCCACGACCCCAGGCTCTAACTAAAAGGCACATACTCAGGCCGGAAGTTCTTGCATCTTAATGTCTTGGGCTCACAGAACAGCAAGGCAAATCTGGACTCATAAAACCAAACCAAGGGGCTGGTGAGATGGCTCAGTGGTCTAAAGCACCTACTTAGAACAAATTAAGCCAAGCAAAGCACAGGGACCTCGGTTCAATCCCCCAGCACCACATGCCAGCCCGCCTGACCCCCTGGTGGGCTGAGCTGGCCACACACAAAATAAATAATAAATAAATAAATATTAAAAAAAAAAAAAAAAAAACAAACCAAATGCCACAGGGTGAAGGGCCCGTCTGTCCCTGGCGGCCTGGACCTACAAGCTTACGCCTTCTTCTCACACATGCTGATTAACAAAGCCACTCTCTGTCCACAGCGGACCCGTGTTGCAAAGGAAAATGCTTCTTAAAATTCTCAAGGAGCATTTCCCTGTGGAAAGGTTGGCTTTAGCAGCACCTTTGCCTGTGCCCCTCTCCTGCTCTTAAGGTTTGTAAAGGCTCCTGGTTACTCCTGAATCACACTTCCAGAAAAGCCCAGCGTTTTCCCGTGTTTCTTTCCACTCTCTCCTCTTTCTGCTGACCTCCTCTTCAGCATCTGCCGGTTTTCTGTCTCTACCAATAGGCAACCACTGCCCCGGCAGGAGCAGGTCCCCGCAGTTCTGAGGATACTGTTTGTTCCCTCTTAAAATAGAGACACCACGTGACTGAGACTGGGCGTGGCGGTGCGCGCCTGTAATCCCAGCTCTTGGGAGGCTGAACACAGGCAGATCACTGTAAGTACGATCTACGTAGACCCTAGACTTTGTAGACCCTGTACT